ATCAAAATAATATTGAGTTGGGAAAGTTCTCGGACATTTTCAGACCAAATGGCTATTTCTCGGAACCTAATGCATTCAAAAAAAATATTTGCAGCTGTACTCTCTCTCTCTCTCTCTCGTCGGTGACATTTAAGGAGATGAGCCTAGGATTGATGGGGCGGAGTTTGCCACCTTACACTCTATACAGCACCTTACAAATACCTTCTTCTTGTTGCGTAAGCGCAGGTGCACACAAACTGCACGTGTATGTATGTAAATATATGTATACTATAAACCAGAGCATATGTGAGTTTGAGATTTATAAAAGTTGGAGATCTAGGTCAAATCAAAATTTTATGTTTTGAAGTTTTCCTCGAATTTTCCATGGATAACGTTGACAATGCTTGTGCTTACTCTAACGTTGTAAAAATTGCTTTCCTCTATCCATCGGTGTGCAGTATGCCTCATCCAGTATTACAAAACGAGAATTTTTTCAAATGTAATGTCCGAGAACTTTGCGTCAACCTAATAACTTTTTGAATAGCTTTACAGAGTTGTACAAATTTGATGGTGGAAGCTTCCTTCATAAAGCTTTTAGACTCTGTGCTGATTTTATGACAACTTGCTGTGATGGTGTTCCACTGACTCTCTTCTTTTCTGAACTCGGAACATCAAAAATATCTGTAATGCTTCCTCCCATACGCTTTGTTTCGGTCTCAATATATTAGGGTGGTCGGAAAGTAATGGAAGAGCATAATTTTCCCTACGTTTCGAAATTTTTTGGTACGATCAACAATAAGCAGGCTGCAACTCAAACGTCACTTTCCTGATAACGCGCTACCGCTCCTCTCTTACAATCCTTGGCGTCGCGCCTCGAAGAACCTTCAAACAGGATTTTTTGAACATCTTCCAGTCTTGCGCTGTTATACCGTAAAGTCATGATGCAAATGACATACCATCCAAAAGAGCTCTTCAAACTCTTCTAAATGATTTATCGATTCGAAATCTCTCTTTGTTTTTAGGTGAAAAGGCAGAAAATTTGAAAACTTGCGATTTTTTGGCACAATAAAAGGCCAAAAAAATCATCTTTTAGCCTATATGTTCCGAAGACGTGTGGATTGAGGCAAACGCACATAAATACACATAAATAGACAGAGCATGGAGAGCTCTTAACAGCCACGAATAGAAGCAAACTCAACTTATAGCCTAACATTTGGATGGTGTGCCTCCCCAGATCAAAGCTACGCCGCCACTGATAATGACATCCCATGTTACTACAAACGTTTGACTCGATATGCACTCGATAGGGCAGACGACAATGATACGTCGTGTCACCACAAATTTTGCTAGAAGATTCAGAAAACTTTGCATGGAATTATTGATTTTGCTCCTGGGTTGTGATGAGGTGAAAAAAACGTAATGAAGATTGGCGATGTTGCGGGAACACCGGCCGTTTAGCTATCTTAAATCTCAATTTTTGCTTCAGCAGCTTTTATAAGGTTAATCGGTGCCAATTTCACAGCCTCGACACGACTAAGGACGGTGCTATGCTGACGAATGCGGGTTATTTTCAAAGAAGCTCTTTACTAACTAGTCTTTGAGGTTCGCCTCCTACCAGATACACCAGTGGAGGTCAGAAGACATAATCTGGGGTGGTAGTAATTTGACTAAAGCCATTATTCCAGCTATGTTCTCATAACACGAGGTAACCAACAGCTTTACATCGAAATTACGATTTAACTAGTCGAAATCCTCAATGTGGACAATTTTTCACTTCATAGTGAATTTAGCAAAGCGATGTCATTGAAGGAGATCGAACCTCAACATGCTTTCATTCTCTATGCACTGCTGTTTGAGTTACAGCGAGGTAGAGAGCAAATCAATGAAAACATGCAACTGACGTCTGCTTACCACAATGGACTTGTCATCAGCAGACTTTGAAACATAAGAACCTGGATCTTTGGCCAATGACGATGATGATCAATCATGATCAGGGTTGAGCGTGGGGTCAGGCGCGCCCGACCTGGGGGATCGTATTGAGGGTAGACTGAGGGGGGGGGCATAATTAAGAATCGATTTTGTTGAGTTGGGGAGATACTGCAAAGGTGAAGAAGAAATGCCTTAGTTTGGTGGATATCGCGATCACATGAAGGAGTGACGATCATAAACAGTATACTGATTGTTTCCACAATGGAAGTTTCAGCCAAAATTCAAATCTTCATCTCTTTTACCTTGACATATGAGGTCGACAAGGAGGCTTGCTGTGTGAAATGGGTATCATTCCCAAAGGTTGTGTAATAACTTCTGTCCCATTTTATCTTTCGATTTTTTCTCAATAATTTCGCAATGTTCTGTAAAGTGTTTATATGCATTTGAAAGCTCTAAGCCTTCTTTACTGAAACTTTCATTTCGGTTTTCTACATCAGATGACTTGCAAAAGTTTTACAGCTTCAAATTTGGGAAATCAAACAGGAAAAAAGTCCATTTTCGACAACTACGTTACGTCGCCTTCCTAATTAGTCAGAATGCCTACGAATAAGCTCGAAGAATTTGCTACATGTAAGCCAAGAATGCTCTAGCTTCTACTGCGTTTCAGGAGTGCTGAAACATTTCAAAAGTCATTTCTGTAGACTTTGAAAAAGTCTTCTAACGCCTTTTCAACGTCGGTGTTGGACATCATCTGAAGGCATCCTGAGGGAAGACGTAGGCGGATCATCCAGAAAAAACAGAATGGATGGTTTGCGGGTTCAAGATTATCGAATTCATAGGTTAAATACTCAAAATCGAATTTTGGGAGCCACACAGCCTGGGTACGCGAGACGGCGAACATCGCCGTGACAAGGTCTTTCCTTGCCGGCTTTTAAACAAATGGTGAAAGGAAGGGAGAATGCGTAAACAGTGACAGAATAAGCGTAAAATTCTAATAGATTGTTTTGGTTTTTGTCAAGCTTGTTCAGTAAGTTACCAATAAAAATCCAGAAAAATTTGGAGGAAAAAAGATAACGAAAATTGATTTTTCGGCTCTTTGGATTTTTTGTTTCAATGATAAAATCTTTTTCAATTTTCCGCTATGTTGGGGAGTAATGCATATGAGCCTGCAGAGCAGACTTAGAGCTTTAAACAGCATATACGCTTCATCTCAAATATATTCAATGTTGTCAAGAAAAAACTAAAACAAAAAATGGGATAGAACTTATTACACGACCTAATATAACACCCTGAGGACTTGGAGGTGAAGCGGAGGGTCGTTTAGGGGCTTTCACAGGGGGGGGGGGGGAGGGGGGCGTTTTTGAAGGGCTTGTATCTGATCTCTTGCTCAACCCTGATCATGATTTATAGCGGTCTGTGGAGTCGGTCTTTCAAATCACAGTGAAGATCGATTTACAATGTAAAACATGTAGGAGTTATGTAACAAGATAATAATATGTAACAATTCTTTTTGATTAATACTTAGCTGTCACTGGAGAATAACCGAAAAACCTTCACTAGTGCTAAAACTTTCCATAATGGCCAGTGCGAGTCTCTGCGAAGCAGAGATGACGCACTGAATATAAGATAAGCCGTTTTATCAAGCCATCCAATTCTGGAATTTGAATTAGATGCATAAAGCATTGATACAAATAAAGCAAATCAGGAACAATGTAAGCTTGCTGCCTAACATTATTATACATTTTTTTGTGAAATAGAGAGTAACATTTGATTATAGGTCTCCAAGATTCGCTTATTCTGATTTCGTAATTGTACCTGTCATGTTCGCGCCTATACTCCGCCATGCAATCAAGGGTTTTGTGTCTGTCAATCACATCATGACAATGGCGCCGCTCACCTGTCTCGCGTATGAGCTTCGGCAGCCGCGTTTTATTGGCTTTCGTCTACTCGAAATGGCTTTTTGCATGTATTTGATAGGTCCTGAAGTGACTTAGTGTACAACGAAATGGTAGTCGAAGTGGCTATTTTAACAAGTTGCATACCCATTGATGCAGCACAGAACGCTGATTTTGAACCTACTTTTATCTGCTGAACGCTTCTGTCGACGAATCGATAAGCCACTAAAGTACAAAAAAAGTCGTGTATGCAAAGTGCAAATTCGAATATACAGATTCATGTTCGGCTTGATGCTGAGCCAAAACATGCAGGTAGGTTGATGGTGGTCAAAATCATTTATGTACGTGATCTTGCGATTCGTATTTAATATCCTTGTGATAAAATTGCTCATTTTCGTCCACAAAGGCGTTAGCAGGTGTGGAAGACAAACCTGGAGTCAGCATTCTATGATGCATTCAATGGTACGAAAGTTTTTTGAAATGACCCTTCGACTATTAACCATTCCCTTTCAAGCATTAGAGCGCCATCTTTTGTTTATATATTCTCATGTTGAAAGTGTAAAAATTGTAGTCGAATTTCTCGCCATGGTTTTGCAGGCCGCATCTGGTCTTCTGGCAGAAACAACACAAGCCGTTCTGATAATGCAAATTATATAGATTATGTTTCAATCCGAAAAATTTAAAAGAATGCTTTTAAGCTTTCTAATAAATCCAGCTGGCTTTGGAGGTATGTCAATTTTCATAAAGGATCAGTTGAGCTTGGTAATCATAGGCACTTTCTTTGCGTAGCGATTGGGCGCAACAAAGAACATCATTTATTTCCTTGAGTAAAAGAGATCAAATAGTTATGAATAACAATCTTTACGAGGAGGTTCTGCCATAAAGTGTAACGACAACCACACAAGCCGGCAGCCAGGGAGGTGAAATTGAAAGTACCGCAGCACGCATATGTATGTATACAGATTTGAGTCACCATCGATATCACAGATTTGATCTGGGTATTGGTGAAAAAAATGAAGATGGGCAGCGGAATCAAGAAGACATTTCAATAATTTCGTAGCACTAGAGATGGAGGCAAGTGCAAGAAAATTGACCTCAATCTCTGCAAAATATTTTTGCAGGTGAAGATAATCTGCCACAGTCAACATACATCACTAAGAGGCTCCTACGGCTACGAATGTCCTGACACCATAATCGCTAAGACCAGTCCTTTTTGAGCATACTGAAGTAGAAAGCAGCGTGTTGTCTCTGATGCACATGTGCCTCATAACCCATTGTTGACACCACACTTACGAATTCCGGATGCGTTTTTGGAGTGCAGCAAAGCTGAAATGTTAGCTATAATCATGCGTATACCACGGCCATGCTCTAACCTGTGTTCTCAATTTCCGCAGTTCAGCTTTCAAGCCGTCGTTATGCCAACACATGACTATCACAATCGTGATACCATATCTGTAAGCTCAGAAGTCAAGATCTCCGTTAATTCGAAGCACGAAGTTTTGCGGATGACTATCATGCAAAAACTCACATTAGTAATGAATAGTTAAATATAATCACAATGATATTCTGGTAATAAATGGACACTTTAAAATCGTCAACAAGGAGGCAAAGGGCAGAAATCACATTGAGTAAACCTATCCAGATGACCGTGTGAAAAATAAACTAAATTGCAGAATTCATTTACGGATGACTTATAAAGGACAGAAACGCACCTTGCACACACGAATATTTTGTGCTATCTGATAACGTTCTCCCAAGGAATATGTTTTGGTTGTGGCAATATTATTGCTCATTGATTCAAAATAGAAACGTTTGTTAGTATCAATGTTAAATTTATTTATCTGCAAGTAAATGTTGGATAATGAAAAAGGCAAGAAAGTTTTCAGATTTAGAAAAACGATAAGAAGTTGAGTTGGCCGTTTTAGGAGTATACAACTACGGCACCCTGACACGGCTGGTTCTTCCAGAGTTTCCCATCTGCTAAGGCCGTATAAACGTACATCCCCGCTGGGGAGAAAAGATGAGCCGGATCCCCAGAGGGACGACGATTCACTAAACCTCGCTGACAGAGAGAGGGAACGATTCCCTTCCTTGCACCTATAGCGAGGATGGTGTGATTGCGATAGTGCTTCTACCTCACGGTTACAACAAGGCCTCGCCGAAGAAGTTATTTTCGGTCATTTTGTGTACCAGAACGAATTTTTGAAACAAAATATACAAGAATACTGATTTTGCGTGCTTTTGTTCCTTTCCACTCTTCTCCTTCTACCCTCCCATAGTATCACTCCTTCTTTCGCTCTCAATTTTTTTCTATATTACTGGTTTCGGCGTCTATTTATACTCGTTACGTGCTGCCTAGGAATATCGTCGGTTTTTGAAGTAGTGTTTTGAGTCTGTTATGATTTTCTTGCAATTATGTTACGGCGATGTACTTCTCCGACAAAGTCGTGAGTGCGCAGCATTTTGTAGTTTCCGTGTTTTCTAAACTTTTGTTAGTCATTCCTTGCGGTACTCCTTCGCTGCCTCAAATTCAGCATTTTGTTTCAAAGGTGTCGATCGAACGAATCCCAGTAGGGATCCTTTCCCTTCCTTCCCCGTAAGCAAATGTTATTCAACAACGCGGGGGAGGGATTGGCATCCCTTACAACGGAGTAGGGGTTCGATGGTGTAAACCATGCTAGGGAAGCGAACGTTCTCGTTTCAATCAGTTGTTACAAAGTATTCTGATCAAATTAATAGGAGACTTTCTTTGAAAGCCGGGTCCCTTCGTGAGCGACTTATAGCGTGCAATTTTATCTTTTTCTATTTTCGCTTCTCGCGAAGAAACTCAAGCATATATCTGCCATTCTGAATATCTGTTGTCTTTACCTTGTTATCTCATAATCTGATTTGAATTAAAAAAAAAACTAGAAATTAACAGATTTGTTTATTTCTGAGCAGAGACTCCGAGAAGTGATCTCCCCAGCGTTCCCTCGTGCATAGCATGGATAGCCGCTGGGGATCACTTCGTTGGGGTAATGAACGATACGTCGTTAACAGCTACAGCCTTCATGGAGAGCTGGCTGGCATGATTTGCAGCTTCTACTGTGTGTATAAATGTTGGTTCGTGCAACACCCCCCCCCCTCTACCCATTTCCCTGCAGAGACATCTTGATTTCCACCATTGAACACCTTTATGCTGAAATGGGCAGCAGGGACGAAAGTGTGCACATCCATGAAACAGCAGGAATATAATGACCTAGAAAATATAGTTTTCGGTGCGTCAAACGCGGTCACGGCAGAAGCACATCCCGCGACGCCTAAATTATTGCCGATGACGAAATGAAGTTGATTAGCTGTAAAAAGATGAGAATAAAAAATAATTATAGGAAAGCGAAAGCGAGTGATTTCCCGCTAGATGCCCTTTGTGGATGAGGGTGCTTACTTCCTCTATTTCCAGGGGGTCCCTTCGCCGATACTGTCTACCTGCATACGGGTGTTCGCGTGGGGATTGGAGAGGAGACCCAGCGGGGCCAAATTAATAGTAAGGGCCGCATGCATTAACATCCCCACCGGGGAGGGATCACAGCTTCAGAAGAAAGCTTCATATTTTGAAGCTCCAAATATCCGGATTTCACGCTGTCTGCCTATCATCCTTCACTATGAACATCTTAAACGAGAACAATAAGCTGCACAAGCCGCATTCTCCAGCTTTCTGTATGGTCTCTGATGATCCCCCGCATCTGGACGTCTTTTGTTCAAAGTCATTTTTCTTCCTTCAATGTGAACGAAAATCTTCCAAAGTTGTACTGATTATCTAACCCAACAGTGCTAAGCATGTTGCTGATAGGAACATTAAGTCTTTGAAATATCGATTTCTTCGATAAACCCTGACTTTCGACTTGTGGTACATCGCAAATTTCATGACTTCGAAACATCACTTGTTCTTACCAGAAACATGATTAGCACTGTTGGGTTAGATAAACAGCACAACTTTGGAATGTTTTTATTTACTTCGCAAAAAGAAAAATGCCTTCAAAGAAAAGACGGTCGGCAGCCAGGGATCATCAGGGGATCAAAAAAAAAGGCTGGAAAATACCACTTGTACAGCTTCTTGCTCCCGTTCGAGATGCTCATAGTGAAGGATGGTGGAAGTACTTACGGAGGGTAGATCCAGATATCTGGAGCTTCAGAATATGAAGCTTTTTTCTGGAGCTGCGATCCCCTCCCCGGCGGGGATATTAATGCATGCGGCCCTAAAAAGCACATTCCCTCTGCGCATGTACGTGCATACGGATCCGAATGGTTGGTTCGAAATTTTACGAGCATCAGTTGTATCAAGGAACAGCGCCTGGGCACCTGTTTCCAATAGGGTTGACAGATTCCATCAGTTTGCAGGGATTTGTGCGAGAAGCCATCACGAGGACGGCGGTCCCTCCCCCTCCCCCTCCCCTTCCATAACAACATGCGACCCGATGCAAGTCGCCCGCCAATATGGTAGGCCAATACGGTAGCCGGATATGCTTTGTGGACGATTATCTCAACCGTTTGCGCACCATCTGCTCTGCCAAAACAGTGTCTTAGTTAAACTGCCAAAAACAGTTTCCACGTGTGCGATTTTACGTGTCCAGATTTGCCTGTGCGCTGCCTGCAAGATACAGTGGCCTAGATAGCAAGACATTGGACCAAACTGGAGAAGTAGTCGGTGCATTTCTACCGATTTTATTACATTATGAATTACATTCTAACTATTTGGCTCATTACGCTGAAATTAAGCTTTGAAAGAGGGATATGATGACGCAATATGGGCTCAAACACACAAAAACAACTTAATTTTATTCTCAAAATAAGGGCAGACACTGTGATCAGACTTGTATTCAGCGATTCAACATGGTCATAATGATTTGTTCGGAGACGAATCAGCTCAGTTTTGACCAATCGCTTACAAGTAGATTAATCACTAAACGTCTGTCGCACCCAGTCAGTCTGTGAAGATATTTCAAACACATTCCTTAGTTTATACAGAGCACTTCCTTCATTAAAGCACGTTTTTCAGATTTTCTTCGTAAAAAAAGATCTAAGCACTAGTTTTTCTTGAAAAGTGCCGACTCTAAGCAAGACATTCTCAACAAATGCAAAATATTTCTATTACTATTTTTCTTTCAATAATGCTTACCACAATAGCGATGGTGTTGACCACGAGAATAGCGGCAAAGTGACCATAGGCGGAATCAGCTGAAATACTATATGTGAGAAACTTCTTATATTTATGTGTCGTCTAACGTTCAAAGATTTGCAACGATCCTTGGTCCCTGTTCGTACATTTTTGTGTGTGAGAAGCTTTTTTCGTTTGTTGAGCGGGAAAACTTTGTTGCTGTAATTTGGGCTCCTAATAAACTCTACTGCCAGGCCGAGTGATTCAGTCCGATAAGACACCGAATTTGATACTTGCAGGTCCTTTTGGTACTTTTCTCAGTCAATTTGGGAGTTGTGAAATAAGTCATGCAGAATAAGGTACACAGGTGTCCCAAAAGTATGTATACACTGTTTAATTGTCAATATCTCTTTTCCCAAGTAGTCTTTTGCTTCCCTCTAAGCACCATTTTGTAAAGCTAACTTCAACTTAGATTTAAAGTATAGAGCGAATCACGGATCTTTCTTCACTACTGTAAGATTACGGTAAGAACTTCAACTTATAGCGTCATTACGGATTTACCGTGTTTCAAAAAAGTTCCCAAAAAATCTAAAAAGTGGTATACTAGGGTTTTCAAGCTCGCTAGTTTTATTATTCAACTTTTTACGTGTTTGTAATACTTTTAAAATGGTGTAATCACGATTTTATCGTGTCTTGTGAAAACAGCTGTTGCGGTCTACCTGGCATAACTTATGAAGCAAGCATTGCGGTAAAGTGTGAACATATTTGGTTTTAGCGGCTTCAGAAAAATTATAAACCTACCAAGTTCCATATTTGGTCATCCCAAACCTCACAATACATTTGCTAGCAACTGAGATGTTATTCAGCCTTTCCTCCTCTCTCTGGCAGGTTTTTTTCTTTCTAATTCGATAATGCTTTGAAATATTTAAAAATGAAAAAAATCATTATGACTCTTATTCTCAAACATGTCTCAAGCTGTACCTGGAACGTTAAATCCAATGAAGCGGTAAACGCTCATTCGCTTTGTAATATTAGTGTTCAGCCATAGTCGATCTTTGAGATTTCAAATTTCGAAGATTTACCAATGTTTAAAGCGTTTGTGTAATTTGAATTTCGCAGAAATAAAGACTCTCGGAGATCCTTTTTGATTATATTGATAAGTCAGTTTAACCAAAACTTCACTGTATTGCACTTTGTTTACTTTATTCCAATAAACAACAAAGCGTTGGCGAAAGTCTACATAAAAATTCGAAATAATTTGAGATTGAAGTAGGTAGAAACTATGTGTTGAAGATCCTGGTGTTATTCGACGTTCATGAAGTTCGCTACTAACAATATGCGCAAAATTAATTTTTCTATTTTTCTCTATTCCTCTTTGCCTTTCGCCCTACAGTTTCCATTTCTTTGCTCTTTCTCCGGCACTTCTTCCCCTCTTCCCACAACCACTGACTGGTACAATTCGCTAACAGGGAACATCTCCCGCTGATATAATAGAGAACTACCAAACGAAAAGATCAGATTCTTCGAATGAAGCAAAAATTTGATAACTGACCTCTATGAAATGTATATGAGCAAGTTAGGGCATTAATCACCATCATTGTTATAATCATATAACCAAGATAGGGACGCTGTTTCTTCTCGTAATCCTCCAAAAAGTATGTTGCGAAAAACCTCTCCAACACTATTGCGGGTAAGGCGAAGTAAACTGAACAAATACTGTAGGAAACAGGACGAATAATGATAATGGCGTCCAAGATTTGTCGTCTGCACAATCTACATTACTTGTCTTTTGCTTTTCTTTTCAAATCTTATGTTCACACTCAATTTTTATGATCAGTAGCGAATTAATAAAAGCTTCTGATAATCTAAGCTTTTGATAATTTTGGTAATTTTCTCTACCGAAGCAAGTTTGCTGACATGGATGCAGGGCAGTAAGAGTACCTGCTTTCTTCCTATTGCTACTTTGCAAAAGCACTTATCATTTCGGAGACTAGCATTACAATAAATTTATTTAATAAATGCAATGATTATCTCTCACCCATGAATGTGCAACAGCCTCGTATATAGGATGTAAACCAGAATAACAGTGTGTAGTGACCATCTAAAAAATAAACATGTTTACGAAAACAGTTCTTTGTTGGCAAGAAAGATTTTTGATGGAGTGAATGAACTTGACTTTTGTTATAAACAAGCTGAAAAATAGCTTTCATGCAACTGTGTATTTGCAGTTACATGTCACGCAATGTTACATAACATGTAATTTAAGTGTTGATTATGCAGAAAATTCCTTCTATTTCCGTCAGTAAAGCGGGAACATAAGTTAAAGTTTGATGAGTCAGGAGGAGACAAATCATTGGGATAAAACTTCATCAAAAGATGACATTTTTAGAGCAATACTCTAGCGAGTGCGGAGGGTAGCAGTGACGTTAACACGATGTAAACTTGACGATAAGAAAACCTCTTCTTCCAAGCCATATGATCCCCCGTCTCCACATTTGAGTAGCGCTTCTTACAAATCAACACTTTCAAAGTACAAAATTGATGCCATGAAACGAATAACCAAATAACTCTCATCACAATTATGCGGTTTATTCACTGACAGATTTTTCATGTTTTGTCCACACTTACTCGTTGCTGCTTTTCTCATTTCAAATAATCTATGTTAGGCTGTCCGGAAATTGATGCGGATTATTTGTGGGATCCAGCAATGTAAATATAACATAATGGGAAACATTTATTCAGTATGGCAAAGCAAACTCTACAAGGCTGTTTTTAGATTGCTAAAAGTTGAGTTTGCATAAAAAAATGGGAGCAAATAAAGAAAAATTCCATGACCCAGAAATCAGATTCTTGTCCAAAAAGATATCGCCGACCTTCAAGTTGGGCACGCATGCGCTCTCTTCATCAGACTTTATGCACACTTGCCGCATTTTTACAACGGCTGAAAATTGAGAATCTCATTGTCAGAAGGGCCAAAAATGCTTAATTATTTCCTTTTTCAAATTTTATATGCTAAAATCAACATTTTTCGGAAACTAGCCCTTGCCTGAAGCTGGAAATCTATGGTTGTACTTCCAAATTTTTGTAAAATAGAACTAAATACGTCAGAGTAGCTCAGCTTTGCACTTGCTAAGGCATGCCAACTTTCATTTTCTCACCTTCTGACCATGGAATAACTATCAAAACTGTACATATGAATGCTTGATGTGGACACTATATGCCTGACCAAGTCGGGAGGTGCAGGATTCTTGGACGGAAATTTGATTTTCGGGTACCTGAATATTTTTCTGGATACGCCTTCAAACTTTACGTGAATCTAACTTTTTGCGAGCTTCTAATGCTCTTGTGAAGGTTGCTTTGCTCTATCAAATAGCAGTTTCACGCATTTATATTTACAAGCCATGATTGCGTAAGAAACCAGCATCGATTTTCGGACAACTCTATTTAACATCATCATGGCTGCTTTGCTGGTGCTCTACACTTATCTAAAACATTCTACCAAGAAAGACTCTAATGTTATCTTTTTGCAAAACGGGATGCTTCGCGCACTTTTCTTAATTTCAGATGATCGAAAATGGAAAATTTTTCTTTCTCTTGCTTCCTTACAAGAAGTATCAGAACTCGTAGTGGTCTTTGGACATGAGATAGGTATCATCCGAAAGAGATTGTAACGCTGATTCCAAAGCAGCTTTCCCTTGCTACAGAATGAATTCTGGGTCGGGAGCTATTGAATCTAATTTGCATGAGATACATAACGCAAAGCGCAGCCAAGACTACCGAGCCCATGTCTTTTGGGCTCAAATTAGCTGAAGCAGTTTATCAGCGTTTGACGTCATTCTACTCTTTCTTTAATGTTATGCTGCAGTGCTTCACACTTTCAGACCTGGATTTTTTCCTTTAACAAGAGAAGCCTCATTCCCATTGTTTTTTACTTAGCATATGAAAAATATTGTAACGGAGTCCGGAGCCCTTCCGACATCTATTCTATTTCTTTTTGATTTTTCGGTTTTGCGTTTGCTTTTATTTTACAAATTCCCCAATATATGCGGACCGTCCAGCTGTTAGCAGCTACAGATGTACAACATTGTACTCGAAGTTTCCGATAATACGAGGATTTTTTTAGGGTTTCAGAAAAGCATTCGAACGATTTCCATGATCCCAGAGTACCTCTGAACAACGAAAAATTTGGTAATTAAAATGTCCATAACTTACGACCCAGACGAGTTCTGCAGCTAGAGAATGCAGTTTTGGAATCAGCGTTTCAAGCTGCTTCAGAATTCACCTATCTCATTTCAAAAGGCCATTGCGAATTCTGATGCTTCCCTTGTAAGTCAATCGTGAGGGGCTGATGGAGTCGCTCCGTCTATATCGGTTGTGTGAGCCATGAGAGCTTACAATAGTGATACAAATGAACCAAAATCTGCAACACACCTTTACTGAACAATGCCTGTAGGGATACGTAAACCTATGAGTATAGAACGTTTATGTACTACCTGACTTATTGCTTCTGTGCTTGCTGCTCGAGGCTTCATCTCCTAGACAAGCTCGGAATGGCTATGGACAAGAGCTAACAAGGAAAGGATACTTGGTGACCGTGGCCTTTTGAAACGAAACGTACACCATTAGATGCAACTTGAAGCGCTGGTTCCAAATCTGTTTTCATTATCTGCTGCGCGCTCTTCCAAAAGAAGTTATGAACATTTTTTATCATCAAAATTGCACCGTTTTTGCTGCAGGATTCACCAATATCGTTAGAATTTTCGCTTACGCACTATAAAAAAGCGTACAGACAAAGTTAAGCTTCACGTTAAGCTCAGGAAAAATGTTACCGATACATCAGAGTCTAAAAAGCCTGGATATTGACGATTTTGACTGCATAAATTTCGCAAAATCAAAATGGAAAAAAGTCCATAACTTTGTTCAGGAGGTCGCACAGCAGATAATGAGCATAGATTTAGAATCAGCGTTCCAAGACGCACCTATTGGTATATATCTCATTGCAAAAGGCCACGGTCACCAAGTATCCTTCCCTCGTAAGCTACGATGCAGATCAAAACAGCGCAAAAGTGAGGATGAGGAGAAAGTCAAAAGATGGAAAAAAAGGCACTCAACGAGACTAAGTTGGACACAGGCATGACTATTCCCCGCGGTTGGGTTTTACGTTAAGCATGGTAACAAATTTTCCTCCAATTTTACACTGATAAATAATGGAGAGCGAGATGAACAGCGAGTGGCGTCGTTTTCAAAACTTGCAGCGCAAAGCGGGATTTGGGCTTTTACATTTCAAATTTCTCCTACGTGTTCGTTATTGTTTCCCAATTAGAATACTTCCTCTGTTAAGCACTCTGCTCGTCTTTGGTGCCCAACCCTACCTGGGGGTATCTGTGAATCTCTGCCATCTATTTAAGTTCTGAAATTAGCTTAAGAGCAATGTATAAGTACCCGCAATATATGTCCGTCTTTATCGACGAACTGGGTTTCGGAATCCACTGGGTAGGCTTAACCCACAAAATCGGTATTCAGAAACTAGTGGGTTTCGGAACCCAGGGAGTTAATTCCACCCAGTAATTCTGAAACTCACAAAAAGCCACATAACCGGTTATCACGAACGAACCCAGTGAGTTCGCGAACCTAAGAGCCGAGCATACCGGAACTTACGCAACAAGTTACTTAGTTCCTTAGGTTTGAGCACTGGGTTCGAACCCAAGCGTGAGGCAAATTTCGCGATGGGTTACATGGGAACCCATTCTCCTTGCTGTGCATTAAAAACTCTTGTACGCAGCGATGGGCATTAGTAAATAACGCTGGCATTGTTTATCCATTTTCTTTCAACAAAGCTATGCACTAAAAGCACTTGAAAATTTTGCAGATAAACTTGAGAATAATATTTTTACGAAGAGGGCAGGCCAGATTGGTACCGATTACGACTTCAATCTCAGAAAATTCACCAACAAGTTTGAAAAAAAATCATAGCGTTAATTTGTAAAAATCTCAAGCACCTTTTAATGTTTGCTAATGGTGTCTTAGGATTTTTCACATACCACTGCGACTATAGAAACAACCTTTCTGTGTTTACGCATATGGTATGTTCGCCTGTTCATTCGTAATCTTTTCGCACATTTCAAGCTGAGGAAGACGTACCCTCTCGCCTACCATTGAGGCGTCCCCGTATGATAGATTTAAAAATGGTTAGTTCAGATAGTTTGACAACAATATACTTGCAATCGCTATGTTCGCCTAACTTCACGCCCTGCTCCAGCCACGTTTAGATACACCTACACTCCTTTGCAACACTGTCGAAAAATTAGAAATGTGAACAGAGATTGGAGAAGCAGTTGCTGACGTAATGGGTTAACGAATCCAGTGGAGCACCTTGTGTATATCGATCTTAACCACTGGGTTCGTTGGGCCACAACAAATCTACTACACCCATGTAACGAAATCACTATTAGACCAAGAGTGCAACGGCTCAATCCTCTCTCGTGGCAATCTTCCAGTGATAAGAGTTCACAATGGCCTATACAGCCATGCAAGAATTTTTCAGTAAAAAGTGGAGAAAATAGCTGAAAATTTTTTTTTGCTGAAGCTCCAAAATCCG